TTGCAACGGGGCCACATTAACTTTAAGAGTTTAATATTACGACATTGGCGACTTTTTTTACCATCAAATCCTCACACACACACAGACACACACTCTCCCTCCGTCTTCCTCACTCTCTATCCCCCTCTCCCTCTCTCTCTAACACACACACATATCCATCTTATTGGGTATGGGACCATAATCCATCTATTTCACACGTACACGCTAGTGCATAACAATATGGATTATGTGTATTATATTTGCCACCAGAACTGAGGGAATTAATTTCATGTAAATCGACCAGCCACAGCTCCAAGAATACGCGGACGAGGTGGCTCGGGTCGGCGTCGGCGCCGTCCAGCGCGGGCCACGGGCCCGCTTCCAAGTGCACGTGCAATGCATGTCTTCACAAATATTATAACCAGATGTCAGAAATCACATGCATAGAAAAGACATTCTGATAGCAATCCAAATACCATACTCAATTGAATACCTAACCTGGACAATACTCTTATTTCTATGCGCCAAAAAAAATGGAATAGCAAAGCTAAGTATGCCTACATACGCTCAGATTATATATAAGAATCTTGCGTGAACAATTGCAACAAAGCACTAAGCAGCGATAAATTTAAATAAAAAATCCATTAACTATGCAGGCAACAGGCTTTTTACAACATAGAGAGATAGGAAAATGTCACCTCCAGTAATGTAGCGCAAAGGAGTGGAACGAAGCATGAATGAACGGTTGTTTGTTCTTCTCCATGTACATGGATCAACAGTAGAGGCCAAGTATATAAGTACTTGACCGAACTCCACACTCCACTCTTCGTGTACGGAGAGCCATGTCACCTTCTCGCCGCTGCAGCATGGGAGGACGGTTGGTTCACGTGACCCTCCAGCTGGGGGATCCATGGTGGCTGACCGTCGAGCTCGAGGCAGAGAAGTTGAGGGCAGTAGTGGCGAGATCCATGCCGGCCAACCGGGCGAAGAGGAGGTCGTCGGGGAGGGACACATCGGCAAGATCCGGTCACCACGCGACCTGAAGAGCAACAGTGATCTCCACAAGCTGTAGGCCGACGGCGTGCTCCATCCCCTGCGATGGGGTGACCATGGCGGTGGCCACAGCTCCTTATGCTCGCCTCGATCTTGGCAACACACCCTGAGTGTAGGAGGCAGCAACGACCTCGACGAAATCATGGCCTCCATCCCGGAACGCAATCATGTCGCTCTAAATAAATGGATTCAATCATGTGACTCTAATTATTTCGGATTGTTATGTGCACACTAAGCGGGGTGCAGTTAGGAAAGAAAATGTTCTCTAATTAAAGTGATTGAGTGATTTAAGGTAAGGTTAATTAATTTAGATTTGATTTTTAGTGATTGTTAGTAAAATACGATGCGTCTTTAAAATCTTTTAATTGTTTCCTTAAAATATATTATTTGTTTCCTAAAGAAATTTGCAATAATGGAAGATATCGGTTGATTTGGATAAGTTAGTAAATTTAAATCCGTGATTGCGTGCACGTTTGGAAAGTGCTGATCTCCACAAGCTATAGGCCGACGGCGTGCTTCATCCCCTGCGATGAGGTGACCATGGCGGTGGCCACAGCTCCTCATGCTCGCCTCGATCTCGGCGACACACCCTGAGTGTAGGAGGCAACAACGACCTCGACGAAATCATGGCCTCCATTTCGGGACGCAATCATGTCGCTCTAAATAAATGGATTCAATCATGTGACTCTAATTACTTCGGATTGTTATGTGCACACTAAGCGGGGTGCAGTTAGGAAAGAAAATGTTCTCTAATTAAAGTGATTGAGTGATTTAAGGTAAGGTTAATTAATTTAGATTTGATTTTTAGTGATTGTTAGTAAAGTACGATGCGTCTTTAAAATCTTTTATTTGTTTCCTTAAAATATATTATTTGTTTCCTAAAGAAATTTGCAATAATGGAAGATATCGGTTGATTTGGATAAGTTAGTAAATTTAAATCCGTGATTGCGTGCACGTTTGGAAAGTGCTGATCTCCACAAGCTATAGGCCGACGGCGTGCTCCATCCCCTGCGATGAGGTGACCATGGCGGTGGCCACAGCTCCTCATGCTCGCCTCGATCTCGGCGACACACCCTGAGTGTAGGAGGCAGCAACGACCTCGACGAAATCATGGCCTCCATCCCGGAACGCAATCATGTCGCTCTAAATAAATGGATTCAATCATGTGACTCTAATTACTTCGGATTGTTATGTGCACACTAAGCGAGTTGCAGTTAGGAAAGAAAATGTTTTCTAATTAAAGTGATTGAGTGATTTAAGGTAAGGTTAATTAATTTAGATTTGATTTTTAGTGATTGTTAGTAAAGTATGATGTGTCTTTAAAATCTTTTATTTGTTTCCTTAAAATCTATTATTTGTTTTCTAAAGAAATTTGCAATAATGGAAGGTATCGGTTGATTTGGATAAGTTAGTAAATTTAGATCCGTGATTGCGTGCATGTTTGGAAAGTCTTGATTTGCAAGGAAAGAGCTGAGAACCGGTGAATAAGAAACCATCATCGAAAAAAATCTACGACGGTTAACCTACGGAAAAAAACCGGACGAAAATGGTGGGACGAAAAAAAACCTGGAAGCGAGACTACCAACTGCTCCATTAGGAGTAGAGATTCCTAAAGAAATTTGCAATAATGGAAGGTATCGGTTGATTTGGATAAGTTAGTAAATTTAGATCCGTGATTGCGTGCACGTTTGGAAAGTGCTGATTTGCAAGGAAAGAGCTGAGGGGTAAATAAACCGGTGAATAAGAAACCAGCATCGAAAAAAATCTACAATGATTAACCTACAAAAAAAAACCGGACGAAAGTGGTGGGACGAAAAAAACCCTGGAAGCGAGACTACCAACTGCTCCATTAGGAATAGAGATTATACTCGATTGTACCGGAGGGTACCACGAGTACCGTCCCAATCACAGTAAAAGAGTTCGAAAACCAAATCTGAAAGACCATATATTACCATTGAGATAAACAATAGCATTAAAATTGAGAAAGAAAACGAGAAAAAATATATATACATGAATATATAGCCTATGGTAGATACTTGCTTGATTGATGCTATGTAATTTTAGTACTCTTTGAACTCTATTCTTATCCTGATGCAAATTTTAAGATTTCGTATACCAATTAAGGAAAGAAATAAATTAGGCCTAAACATCTATTGGCATCAAATTAAAACTAGCCGATATGATGCCCAAAATTATTATTATTTCCCACAAAAGATAATCATGCATGTTAATACTATTGGACTATAAGTACAGATCCCCACGATGTTGATCTAGGAAGAACATCATACACACACATTAGCTTATCGATATGGCATGGCACACGAAGAGCCATAAGGTGTAGATATGCTTGTGGCTTGTGATGATGCTTCGCTTGTCATCCCGTAGAAAATACGATCAACTCACACATGATCTCTAGAACAGAGTGAAGCGTGTTAATTTTAGCTGATTTTTCTTGTTTGGTGTTGTATGCAGAAGAAATTGCATCAGGTGGATGCGACAAACAGGTTAGCAAAACATGGCCGAAATACTTACCATGTGTTGTGAACGGCAAATAGTATGACATTTAATATGATATGATATAATACATGATACTTAATATTTTTCCCTCCATTTAATTATGTGCCACCTCAACTAAAGTGCTTAGTTGACATGCATAATACTACTTTTCCAATATATTGAGAAATTTGGTCTTTTGGCCTTTTCCAATACTTCTTTCAATAAGCACCACATCAGCACGCTGTCGTGGTCCATCGTCGCTCGTTGTCATCACCAGAGAGAGAAAGACATCATACTGACAAGCGAGGCATGTAGGTCAGATTGAGTAGACATCATACTGACAAGCGGGGCATGTAGGTCAGATTGAGTATCGGGAAAAAGTTTGTTGGGGTCACGAAAAGCCACCTCAAGTGTCGCAAACTCTTAAAAAAACGAAAATACTAACATTCACACGTGTGGCAGTTTTGTAACTTGCCCACACGTGTGGATCATCATTCAGTGCAGTTTGCACGAATCTTGACACATTGCAGAAGAATTTGTATGCCACGTAGGACGGGGTTGGTGTGTGGGTGTTGGAGAGTTCGCCCACATGTCCCGCATCATGTTGTTTGCCAGCTGCGCTGTATGGGTGAATTAGTTTCTGCCCACCAACCACATCCTAGTCCATGTGCGTGTGGGTAAACTGTTTTGCACTCACACAACACTCCTACGTTGTTGGATGGCAACTGCAATTACGCGTACGTGACAACTAGGTAAACACACATGGCAACTATGATTCATTGCTAGACGGTAATTGCAGTGGCACCAGATAAACACACATGGCAATTGTGATTAACCATACATGGCTATTATGGTTAGACCACACGTGGTAACTAGATAAACACACATGGTAACTATTGTTTGACCATACGTGACAAGTAGTTAATCACACACAACAACTACGGTTTGGTTACACGTGACAACTACCATAAATTAGACATGACAACTATAGTTAACTAAAACAGATAGAGTTGCCATGCTTTTACAACTACACTTGCCATCCTGAATAACTATATCTGCCATCTCGGACGGCAATTAAATCGTCATCCCGCGGGTACCTAACGTAGCTTCGTCAGTACGTGTGGGCATTTTTGCTTCGTGCCACACGCGCGGGTGAAGATGAGTAGTACTTGTTGGGCGTGTGACACGAAGTAGCTGCGCCCACACATATGAACAATTCTAATGTTCGCCCGCACACAACCCGTGTGGGTTGTCTCTTGCTCACGTCATACACGGTGTGTGAATAGATGTCTAATATGCCACACGTGTGATGGATATCGGCGTCCAAGAAGAAATGGTTTAAAAAAAAACTCTCAAAAGAAAAAAGAAAAAAAAAAACCTTAACGCGATGCAATATTCCGTCCGCATACAGCTTCGTCTCCCCTAATGAACATCTTCTCCAAAGGAGGCTCTCCCGTTAGGCCCGTTCTCTGATGGAGTCGCTTGCCTCGCAAGCGAAGCCGGCTGCCGTGCTCTGGCTCGCCGGCTTCCTCCAGGCCGCGCGTCTCCACCGCGTCGTCTCCTTCTGCGTCAGGTTCTCCTCTACGCCCGCCCCCTCCCCTTGCCCCTCCCCCTGTTCCCACCCATTACTCTCGGTTCCTGGGTGTTATTTCGTCAAATCGGGGGCGATTTTAGCTTCCCCTAATCCCTTACGAAGCATCGATGCATCACTTCTTTAGTAAGCTTACCCGTGCGACTTTCTGGATGCAGCTCGAGGGCTCTGTCGATCAGAATCGCTCAGTGCTTCCTGCTCAACGGGTTTATCTTCCTGGGGAGGTACAGTTGCTCCTAATTGAGGTTCAGTCTCGCCTAAATTTGTCTCCTTTTGCAATTACTCTTGTCGGGTGGACGCCCAAGTGCTCCAGTAAAACTTCAACGCTAGCAAAATCGTACGATGCGTTCATTGAGGAATTCCGCGGCGGGGGGAGAAACTAGATCGAAAACCTCGACAAAATTGGCCCTGTTTATAAGGAAAAACCGAGCAGAAAACAATAAGCAGTACTCCCTCCGTTCGTAAATATTTGTCTTTGAGATTCCAAATGGCTACCACATAAGGATGTATATAGACATGTTTTAGAGTGTAGTTTCACTCATTTTGCTCCGTATGTAGTCACTTGTTCAAATCTCTAGAAAGACAAATATTTAGGAACGGAGGGAGTACATAACAAGGAAAACACAAAGAACCCACGGACAAAGTTATAACACAACGCAAGGGTCAACCAAGAAATCATAGTTGGTTGAGGGATGCAGCACCGGTTATGTCATAAGCATATACATGGAAACACAAGCAGAAGAGAGACTGACAAGGCAAGAAAATGCGGCAGGGACAGCACGGAGGCAAATTCATCAGTCTCCGAGTACACCAACAACAGCAACGCCGAAACCACGGACACAGGATAACGCAGGGCTCCATCATCGAGGAACTGCACCAAAACCAGCCTTGAGCCATCCAACACCCAACATTAGGGTGGTCTTGCCCGTGGCAAGGTTGACAGAGGGGAAAACTTTGGCTCAGTGATCATTCACAGAGAGAACAAATGGAGTAGCGAAGTGAATGCTCACAGAGAGTGCCTCAGAAGAAAATATCTCTACCAAGGCTGGACATAGACCATGATGGAGTGTAAATGGAGGTCACACACAGCTTCAAGTTGACAAAAGCTAAGGATCCAAGCAGTGGCCGGACAAACAATTATAGGTAGTTCACTTGGCAAAAAGAGGAGATCGCTGGGTTGCTGAGTAGAAGAACATCACGAGGGGTAGCAAATGGCAGCATTACGGCACCAAAGGCACCGCCGGGAGACCCCAAAGGAACACCGCCAAAGAAGAGACACGGGGAAGCATTTGGCCACTCGACAACACCAAATGGTGTCATTGCCAGCCCCGAAAAGATGTCACCACCGTTGACCCCCAGCTGGTCGCACCACCACCACCGAACACACTCCCTCCAGCCCCATGCAGTAATGATAGCTGTCATTTGGGTCTCCAAGATGACGCCTCCAAAGAAGAAGTGATGTGAGGACACACCACCGTCATCCAATCAGGCAAGGCCGATCATAGGCTTTCACCCGGATACCACGAAACAAAAAAATAAGATTCCAACGAGCTTCACAACGGCACCTCGGCGAGGAAAACGATGTCCACAGATGCCGTTGCCGCCAGCATCGGCAGTTCCGATGCTGGGTTCACACCCGAAGCTTGTGCAGATTCCCACCGGCATGACAGCAACCGTACCTTCACGTGCAGCCAGGATCCATCAGGCCCCCGCCGCAGGATGCGAGCAGCCATCGCAGAAACCAGATCAGCGCCGGCCGAAACCCAGGCCAGAACCACCGCCACCTCCCCCCCTGCCATGCACCGCCAAGCTCCCAGTAGCGAGCCGCCACCATGCTGCTCAGTAGCAGCCACCACTGTGCCCTGAACAACCGCATCCGCCACTCCTCGAGCAGCGAGGAAGAAGGCGAAGCCAAGCCTTGGGCACCCACCTGGCACGACCGAGGGCACTCCCCAAGCAGAAGGACCTGCCTGCAAGAGGCGACGCTCACGTCGCCAATACCCCACGAGCCGTCTGAACTCACCATCGACGCCAGATCTGAGCAGAGCTGCGCCTGGATCCCTGACCCGTCCGGTCGACGAGTACCAAAGCCAGCACCTGCCTTGCGTAGCCAATCCTGCCAGCCCCGTTCCGCACCAGCAAGCCGCAGTGTGACATCTTGGCTTAATAGGAACGATAGACTACTCATATCAACAAGGAATTCCTTATTTTCCAGGAGCCCATCTGCAAGGAACCTCAAAGTTAAGCGTGCTTGGCTTGGAGCAATTTAAGGATGGGTGACCGGCCCGGAAGTTAACCCCGGGTGCGCATGAGTGAGGACAAAATGCGCAGGAAAGACTAGTGTTGGTTTGTGCCGCCAGTCTAGATCGATACCGCTAGGTGTAACGGTTGGGAACCGGTGGTTGTGGCCGGGGCATTACACATAGGACCAGCCGGCGCCCGTTGCCAGTGTTAAGCTTCATGCATTAGTGAACGCAACCAAAAGTCCGAACTGATGGAAAGGGCTAGATAATCCACATATACACTTCAACACCCCTCTCACGAGTACTGATGCTCAAAAAAAAAAAACACCCCTCTCACGTGTGACGCGGGGTGGCGGCGCAAAATCGGATCTGCGTGAGTTGCACGTGCTAAAAAAATAACCTAAGCTCTAATACCATGTTAAGCTTCATGCACTAGCCAATACAACCAAAATTCCGAACTAATGGAAAGGACTAGGCAATCCACATATACACTTCAACAGCCAGATCTGCCGCCGAACGAGACGTAGCTTGATTCTGTTTGGATCTATGCAGGGCAAAATAAGAATTCCGTTTTCTTATTTCCCTATTCCTGTTTGTCACTTCAGCTACTCCAGTTTACTTTGTCATTTGATGTTTGTTCCGTCATTATTGCAAAATATAGTGGAATCTGGCTGCAGGGAGGTTCAATGGATTCCCTTTTTACTTCGTTTCTGTATTAAGGGAATTATATTCTACAGTTCTGATCAGCACCAGTCTCCTGATTTTGTTATGAATGATCCTGGTTTTCTCTTCCGTGTCCCATTCCATGAATACCTATTTAAAATAGTTCTTGTTCTTTATAGCTTGCTAACCTTGAAATCAGTGGTCATTCCAACTCTTCTATGGATACTGCCCAAGCAATGCGATCAATCATGGGGACAACATCTATGTGAACACACAACAGCTGTTGCCTTGTATTCGTTCTTACGTTCGGGGCTTGTCGAGATTTTCTATGTAAGTGCTCTTTATCGCCATTAGCATCTTCCAAGGGTGTTTTGCTTTAGACAAACATATAACGGCATGTCGATCTTTGCTCACCAATTTTGAGTTCTCTCCTTCAATTACAAGTTATTGGCTTTTGGCTTTGAATATATTGTCACATAAGTATTGATCAATGATCATTAACGACAATTCACTATTTTCGTCTCCAATGTATGCTGGAGAAGTAGGAACTGGCATTGGAGTTATTTTCAGCTGGTAGTTATCTTTCAATGATGCACGCAAATTTAATAAACTTGAGGATCTGGTAACAAGTTCGTGATGTGGCAGTACTGTTTCAAATGCAAAATGCTACTTGTCTTCAAGCCTCTTTTACATTTTCTCAGTGACATACTTGGTGTTATAAAATCCTAGATGAGAAACACCAACACGAGCTGTTTGTCCGATTCTATTATCATGTCCTTTGGTGCTCTACTGTTTGTGGTACCTTAGTATGTTCTGTCATTAAAATTCTCTTTTCCCCCCAAATATCATGCATCACTATTATTTGTGTTGCTTCTTATAATTGATGTACTCTTTCAGGTATTTTGGTTTTATCCCCTCTACATCTTCAGCTTTATAATAAGTACACTTTGGTATGCTGAGTCCCTCTCACTACTTGGTGGCTTACTTCCCTTATTTGTCAAACTGTTGATTTCTTTTCCTTTGAAGAGTAGACCCTTGTTCCAGTTCATAAGGGAATCATGTAGCAGCAGCGGTTAATATGCTTTTCAATTTAGTTATAAGTAAATTGTAAAATAAATGTGTTATAAGTATTGAGTTTATGATTGTATAGATGTATCAAACCTCAATGAAATGGTTTTGGTTGACACATTCAAATTTAGTTTCAGAAATTTCTGGATTTCCAAATTTCTATTACTGATATGGTAATGATATATGCTGCAGCAACTATGTCTTCAAACTTCAATATGCCAGCAAGCCACTTTAGAGCCTTGCTACACTCACGTCAAAATTTGTTTCATTTCAATGCACCATGCCACGAGTTCCGGAAAATTATTTCGTCATCTGATTGATGGTTTTATGACTATTTTCATTTAAGAACAATGCTTACTTGTGCATATGTTTGTTACTGAATCTGGGAGATGTAGCTAAAAGCTGTTCAACTTATGCTTTTTAATCTTCTGTGTATTGTATATGTTGCGCTCATATGGTTTCCACAAAACAAAAAGTAAACTGAAAAAATAAGTTAACTTGTATTTTGTCGGAGGTTTGTATTCTTTTTTCTGTGGAAAATCCAGTTCTTGATTTTTATGCCACTTTTGTTGTTACAGGTACTAAACCTTGTTTTACTATCCTCAAGATAAACATGTTTCAGATGCTAAACAAGGGAACATCGATTACCTTTTTGTGATCTTGACCATCTTACGCTAGGTATGGTGACATTGCTAAGCATGCTTTGGCTGTTGTGAAAAGTAAGAAGCTGGATGCAAGTCAAGCACCTGACTCTGACCCTCACAGCACATCTGTATCAGCAGATAGGCCTGAAGGATTTGATGGGTGTGTTCACATTTAAACTTGTTGATACGTGGTTGGATTTTGCATGCTTCATTTGCTGACACTTTGTTGTTAGGGTTGCGATTGGTGTTGGAGAGCAGGTCTATTCGATACTTCTTTTGACTATTTTCTTTGCTGAGGTATTTGTTCTATGCTCATGTTTGCTTAATCTTCATTTCTCACTGGACACATAGTTTCATTAACCATGTTATATACATTTTGTATCTCCTGCTTATTTGAGCTTATATGGTGCTATTTTTCGTAGTACCTGCATTTTACTTATGTTCTAGATGCCATGCAGGTTACAGTGATTGGTTACATACCTTACCTTGGTAAGGCAATGAACTTCATGTTACTGTCTTTGATGTATGCCTACTACTGCTTCGAGTATGTACATCTGAATGCCTTTTATCACCCATTCAACCTTTTCCTCAAGTGCTATACAGCAAGGTTACTTTATTACCTTATAAAGTTTGCCAACTCCTTTTATCAGGTACAAGTGGAACTTCTTTGCAGTGAGCCTGAATCACCGGCTTGATTTCTTTGAGTCAAATTGGGCTTTCTTTGCCGGATTTGGTATGTGCATTGTTGTCATCATATGGTGCAAAATATGTGTTTCATCTTCTTACTACAGTTAGCAAATGTAGCTGTGTAAAGGGAACCTTTTGCTTTCCCGGTAGTTCCGCTGTCAAAGCCGTTTTGCAGCTGTATGCATGGGTTCTTGACTTCTTGCTAAGAACCTCATGCTTCAGTACTTCCGGTTTGATATACATTTTTTTGGTGGTCAAGGAATCGTCTCCAAACTTGCATGGACATGCACATCTCTGATAGGTTCCCTGCTATTCCCAAGGCACATATTCCTTGTGCAGTTTAAAGAACTTGCATCCTATTCCACATGAGATGTTCAATGAACACTTGTTGTAACCGAGCGTTGTTTTTTAATTTTAGCTTATGTTTTATTTCTTACAAAACTACCTTACTATTGTCATGTTGTTCATTATGCTTACTCTTTAAGAGCTCATATGCTGCTAGCTGATATTTCCACAATTCTGATATGATCTCTGGTGCCATATTGCTTCCTCAGGTAGTCCATGTGTACTTCCGATTTTCTTCTTCTCTCCTCTTACAAGTTATGGTGTGATGGCAATACTATACCCACTGGTATGGACAAGCACTTTCTAAAAGCGGGTGTTGCTCTGGTCATTTGATGGCTTCTAAGACTTTGCGATAACGTCTTTCTCGTTTCTAGCAAAAAGACTGTTCTCACTATGCATTTTTCTTTCTTTGCACAGTGAACACAATAAAGTCTAGACACCAAAATCAATGTCATAGTAGCCATTTTCACTTGGCATGATTTTTTTTATAACTGAAAGAAAAAGGAGCTCACATCAATCATTTGTAGTACTTGTACCCAATACCCAAGTTTTCTTTGTTGCCAATTTGTGCTCATCCCCTGGCCTGGAGCATGATTACTTAGATATATAATTTCTTCTTCTTTCAATGCTACATTTTCTCATGTGTTCATATTATGAGGCTCTATGGATGACCTAGCGATTCCATTCCTTTCATAGTGTTATAAGTGTGTGCGACTGCTTGTTTTGTATTTCATGATGTAAAACCCATGCGGCAAATCCTTAGTCCAACTTTACAATATTACTTTTTGCAGTTTGTCATGACAGCTGCTGGTACACAAGAAGAGCAAACCATTGATGAACTGAAATCTTTGCATGGAGGGAAACTGAATAGAATACCCTTGTTCTTTGTCGCGAAGCGACTAACGTAAGCACTCTTCACATCCTTGATAGACGCAAATAGCTGTTGGTGCTACTTGAGGCTTTAATAGATTGCAAAAGTGTAACAAAGTGTGCCGCCTTTCTGGTGATAATGAATTCTCTCTCCGTTCCAAAATAGATTACAGAGAAAGTTTGATTGCGAAACTATTCTCACATAAAAAGCTAATATTACCATTGTTCTCACCAATCAAAATATTCCCTCTGTTCCATAATGTAATGCGTATAGTTTTTCTAGAAAAGCAAACTTTGACTGAGTTTACAGAGAATACAATTTATATATACAATTCTAAACATATACAATATGAAAATATAACTGTTGATGTATCCAGTGATATGCATTTGGTATGTTAAATGTACATACTTTTGTCTACAAACATGGTCAAAGTTTGTAATGTTTGACTTTTGGAAAAATCTATACACACTACATTATGGAACGGAGGGAGTATATCTTTACTAATTAATTGTGAAAGTAGAGAAGTTTGACTCGGCACTATCTAAAGTGTCATCTACATTGGGAACGGATGCTTGATGCTAGGCCTTCAATTTGCTCTACTTATTTTTTCAATTACAGTCCTACTCTTTCAAGTCTGAAGTACACTTGGGTAGACTATACTGCGTATCATGTATTCGCAATCCCAGCTCAAAATTTATTTTCAAGCAGCACAATTGTTAGTTTCATTGGTACCCGGGCTGTCTAAACGTGTCTGAAACCATGCATGCAGGACGCAAGCGCTGCAGTTGCTCCCAGAGGCACAAAAGGAGCAATGAGTGGTCCACATAATCACATGAACTCAGAGTTGCATAGTTCTCATGGAAGTGATCATGTGGAAGCTGCATCTGAGAGGTGCATAGTTCACGCGAAAGCGCGGCTGCTCATGTGCGCCACACCGCAATGTAAATATTCTGTACCATTGCCGCTGTACATATACATATATTGGGCCAATAAAAAAGAAACTATGGTTGTCCACGAGATACATACTGCAACTGAAGAAGGAAATATACAAACATATACTGTCTACAATGTTGATCAGCTGTCTGCCTTGGCGTAAAGTTCCTTTCTTTCTGTCCTGCTATTTGTCATTCCGTGCTCAATTATGCTCAAGCTGTTCTCACGTACTCCCTCCGTCCAGAAATACTCGTCGGAGAAATGAATGTATCTAGACATATTTAGTTCTAGATACATCCATTTTTATCAATTTCTCCGACAAGTATTTCCGGACGTAGGGAGTATTATTAAGTGCCAGCTGATGTGTTAAGCGATATACGACCAAAACACACACAAGTACTCCCTCTATCCGGAAATACTTGTCATCAAAATGAATAAAAGGAGGGTGTATCTAGACGTATTTTAGTTCGAGATATATCTCTTTTTATTCATTTCGATGACAAGTAGTTTTGGATGGAGGGAGTATATTGGAGTAGTAGTCATCTTATTTTATGCTGGTATTTTGGAGTACTAATCGAACTGATTGATGGTTGTGTTTCTGTACTACTTATATCTAAGGAGCTTAGTATATCACAGATAGATGATTAATCTTATCATGCTCCGGTTCGTGAAGCCTGATAGTACAAGCTGCTGCTATTGAGGAGATGTTGTGGACACCCTCCATGATGTCAGTAGAGAATACTCCGGCGTCTAGTATGCATTTATTTCCTCTTCCTGCAATTATTTCATGGTCATTCCAAACACTATCAATGGTTTTTCTTATGATATAAACAACGCAAATATCTGGACGATTAATTGCAACCATTTGCTTACAAACAACCAAAATAGTGGCGGCTGGTTCCTATCGATCGGCTGCTAACACCAACCAAATACATTTTCTGTATTTTTAGTTAATGCAGTCTTTGTGAAATACACACAGGCTCTGATTTTGGCTCCGAGAGGTGGCTCCTGATCGCGCCCGGAACCAATCGGCAATTGGACCTGTATGAAATTCTTGTCATGTGGGTGGCACAGTTCTCATCTCCCGCCCCAGTAGTGTACTTGCACATCATTGCTTGATGTTGGTGTGGCCACCTAAGTCCTAACTCATTAGCCAACGAGCCAATCCATGAACAGAAGCTTCGCATTTTTCCACTATAGGAACATTATACTTTGTGCTGTCCATCAACATGCCTTGTAACGGTGGTACTGTCTGTCTCCCTGTATCTGTCATGAATGATTGTGGTAACTACACTGGAAGTGATGACACCCTTTCACATCTGCTTTTTGTCATCGCCATAGACCCCTCACAGCAGTTACTCGACAAAGCCACTGACCAAGGTCTTCTACATCGGTTCCGAGGTCAGGTCACCTCCGTGCGCACCTCGCTCTATGTTGACGATGCTGCCATCCTCCGTCATCAAAGAGGACATTGAGAATCTTTCCACGATTTTGGCCATCTTTGGAGAAGTCATGGGGCTTATGGCAAACCCTCTAAGAAGCAGTGTTGCTCCCATCCGCTGTGAAAACATTGACCTTGACAACATCCTGCAAAGCTTCCCGGCCACCTGCATTGGTTTCCCATTGCGTTATTTCGGCCGTTCCCTATCCAACCACCGTTTGAAGAAGTCTGATTGCCAATTTCTTGTAGACAAGGTGGCCGGAAAGACCACCTTGGCAAGGAGGAACATTAACATGGAAGGCCGTTCCACTCTAGTCAAGTCGGTTTGATCCTCTCAGGCCATTTACTACCTCACCGTCCTCAACATGCCAACAGAAACCAAAGAAGGTGTCACCAAGATCTAGCGAGCATTTTTGTGGGCTATTATCGACAAAGTCTCAGGAGGCCAATGCAAGGTCAACTGGAAATTGGCCTGCAGACCAACCAACCTGGGCGGTTTCGGCATTCTCGACTTCGAAAAATTCTCACACGCACTCAGACTAAGTTGGCTTTGGTTCGGATGGGCCGATCCTCAGAGAGCGTGGGTTGGTTTCGACGTCCCTTGCAATGATGATGACATGACCTGTTCTACGCCACAAGGAAGATTATCATGGTTGACAAAATGACGGCGAGCTTTTGGTTCTTACCATGGTTACAAGGGCAAAAGCCGAAGGACATTGCATTGGCCCAGGCATCTTCGCCCTTTCCAAGCGCACTAAATCATGTGTGGCCAATGCTTTGGCTAATATCGATTGGGTCCGTCACGTAGATATGTAGGAGGGTCGCACAGTCAATCACATGCAACCGTTTTCAACCTATGGTGCAAGATCCAGGAGGTGCAGATCACTCCGTGCACTAAACATGTTATTGAGTGAATTGCAAAAAACCACCACATTTTAAGTTCATGTTCGGATTTGCCACCACATTTCTTGTGCGCCCCAAAAATCTACCGATTTTCTTGCTAATTTTCTCAATAAACATTGATGGCCGATTTGGGTCGAAGTAATTCAATTTCTGACATATCGGGCCCACTGGTTAGGTCCACATGGCGCTAAATGGTCAACACCGTCTGTTGACCGTTAAGTTGAACAGAGGGCCCACCCGCTAGCATCGTCATCTTGCTCAAACCTTGTCCTCCTTGTGGCATTCCAACAAACACCTCGCGTGCATGGGCAGAGATGGACGGGAGGGCAGAGGTGATGGTCTGCGGATCAGCCGCCTGGGTCAACGCCGGAAGCAACAGGAGGCGAGTAGCCCGGTGGCGCGGTCTTCCCTGGCTAGAGAAGGCCGGAACAGTGGCGTGAGCCGGCATGGCGAGGCTGTGAGACGTGACGCATGCTGTTGTGGTGTTGCCGAGCTGTGGCCAACGGGAACTCCATGGCGCGGCTGGCGAGCATCTTCGGCGTGCGGTGTGACCGTGGGCTCCGGTGCCAGCGGCATGCCCTGGCCATGCCGGTGGCGCGTGGCGTCGACGACGCGCTCTGGCTCTTCTATGCCGAGGACGTGCTCGCGTTCCTCATGCGTAGTTGCCGTCGTGGTTGGTCGTCCTCGTTCGTGAGCCTCCGTGCACTACTCCGGCCGGCCGTCCCATGCATCAGGCTCGCCGCACGCCAGAGGTGGGGGGCGGAGCTCGCCGGTGCAGGGCAGGGGAAGGAGCTGCGTCGTGGGATCCACCTGATCTAGTGTGAGACGGCTCGAAACGGGACACAGTGCTGCGGATCTCGCCGGCACTGGGAAGAGAGGAGATGGAGGAAGGTGGAGGAGTCACGGGAGAGAGAGGCGGCGGAGCCACGCCGGCCATGAGCGAGAGCCGAGAGGAGGTGGGACAATGGTTGCGGTGGGATTTGTTTTAGCAGTCAAAACAACAACGTTGACCATTTAGTGTCATGTGGACCTGACCTGTGGGCCCGATATGTCGGAAATTGAATTAATTCGTCCTAAATAGATCATCAGTGTTTATTGAGAAAATTAGCAACAAAATCGGTAGAATTTTGGGACGCACAAGAAATATGGTCGCAAATCCGAACATGAACTTGAAATGTGGTGGTTTTTTGCAATTCACTCCATGTTATTTGATGGAAATTCACTGGTGATGGTGATGAGTGCTACTCTGCCGCCTCTGCTTATCATATGAAGTTCGTCAGATTGATAAAGTCGTACATGCCTAGGATGGTATGGAAATTTGTGCACCACAGAAAATTAGATTTTTCTCATGACTCATGCTCCAAAACAGAATTTGGACAGTAGGTAGAATATCTCAGAGGGGGTGGCCAAATTGTGGTCTCTGCCAGTTGTGTAAAAGAGGACCGGAATCTGTAGTGCACCTTATGTTCAAATGCAGCTACTCTATTAGAATTTTAAACATGATCAACGATTGGCTTGGGATGCAATCTAAGACTAGCACCTGATCCGCTCTTCCATCAGTTAGAGAGTGGTGGAATGCTAAGCGACGGGCAGCCAGGTGCAACCAGGAAGGCGTACAATACATTGAAGATACTCGTCTATTGGGCAATTTGGAATGAAAGGAACGGGAGAGCATTTCACAGCAAGGCCTCTTTGTCCACCCACGTGGTTTCATCGATTAAGGCAGGGGCGAAGCTTTGGGTTATTGTTGGCGATATTTGGGAAATATTGTACAGGAAGAGTGATCCCTTTGCATTGTGACCTTTATGGTCATGTAGACATCAAACCTTGTCATTCTCTTCTTAATTAAGAAGATGAGACAAATCTTTGCTTCGTATAAGAAAAAGGAAACTACACGGGAGGTAATCTCCACTGAGGCCTTGTTCGTTTACTCCCTCCCCCGCGAGGTTTGGGGCCCAACCCCCGCGGATCCACGGGGATCGCCCCCGCCTGGATGTGACCCCGGCCCATCTGCTAATGCATATTCGGTTAAGCCTGGCGTGGGTCCGTTCCCCGACTAAAACCCCTCCGGTCTTCGCGAAACGCACGGGAAAAAATCATCGTCTCCCCACCCGCGGAAAGAAACCCTGAGCGACCTGAGGGAACTATCGCTTGTGGCGCAGCCCAAAGCGAACTCGTGCTGTGCCTGCTGAGGGGTTAACCGAACGTGATCTATTGAGGGACGGATTTAGGAGATATGGGGTTTAATCTGTGCAGGGATTGGGTGACGGTGTAGGGATCACCCGATCCCTGGGTGGATTTAATCTGCTAGGGGGTTGGTCCTCTGCCTACCGAACAAGGCCTGAAGGATATATGCTACAAGGAGACTCGCAAAACATTAGAGATGTGACTGAGGCAATACGGCGAGGGGTGGAATTATGGAGGCAGGCTGGGGCTCGCTGCTTGTAGAGCCCGTTCGCTGAACCACCTGGAATTGGCTAAAACCTCTCAAGGGCTTGGATAGTCTAGGTAGCAATTTTTTCTCCTAGTTTTTCTTTT